AAGGAGCTGGCTGCTGCCGAGGAGCAACGGAAGGGCTGGTCCTGCCAGGAGGGTTGCGCTGCTGCCCCTTCAGCTGGTCCGTCCAATCCAGGGCACGTTTCCAAACAGCTCCCTGGGATTTCTGGAGGTGGCCAGCAGGACCAGAGAGGCTTTGTGCAGCACCAGTTGCTTCCAAGGACTGTTTGCAGTTTCCCAGCACTGGACTCCTGCCAGCATCTCTCCAAGCACTCATGTTTCCAACCCCGAGTCGCCTGGCACCCATCTGCCAACCTCCACCCCGGCCACACTACGCTGCATCCCCTAACGACCACAGCCCCCAGTTAGCAGAGGCATCCTCGGGCAGCCTCCCAAGCCCAGCGAGGACGGAGGCTTCCCAGGTCGATCTGGCTCTGGAGATGGCCAGGCAGAGCCATGTGCCGGCTCAGGGCACGGGGCAGAGCCGTGTGCCGGCTCGGGGCAGAGCGCGTCCCAGGAAAGCGCAGGCAGCAGGCGTGGGGGTCCGTGCTGGGTGGGAAACAAAGGCCCCGCTGGAAAGGGAGCTGGTCTTTTCATGTGTTTTAAGCACAATCCAAGTACCAAGCCCCCTCCAGACAAAAGGCCTGCAATCCGAGCTGAGCACAGAAATCCAATCCCAAGGGTGAAGGGAGAACCCGGCCTTGTTGTATCCCACAGGCCAGCACTTGGCCTGTCACTCGTGACGGACGCGGATTTGAGGGTTTGCTGAGCAGGGCAAGTCCCCTGCAAAATTCCTCTGGCCATGTCCCTCTCTCCTGAGTCTGTTACCCATCTGGTATCTGAAGCAAAGCTCCAACCAGACAGGGAAAGTTTGAAATTTCGAGTCATCCCCAAAATCTTCTGTTCCAGCGTGGGAAGGTGGCAGCGCAGAACTGTGCAACCCCACGGCCCGGGGGAAAGCCCCGTTCAGCAGAGGCCCCTGGGCTCGTGACCTGGCTCTGAACCTCCCCCCATGCAAAACCAGCATTTCAGTCTCTCAGCCGGGGCCAGAGCGTCAGCATTTTCCCCGTGCTGCGACCTGGCACGTCTCTCCCCTCTTCTGCAGGGCAGACTGGTTCCTCCTGGACAGCCGGACAGTTCGCCACACCGCCATCGGCTTGTTCTGCTGCGGGGTCTCGGTCTACCTAACAGGCAAGTGCTCGTTGCACCGCTCCAGCCCTGCGCTGGTCGCTCAGTGCTGCTCAGCTGCCTCGTTTCTGCTTCAGCATCGGGGTTGTTTCTCAAATGGCTTTGCCAGCTCATCCCCGTGGCAGGAACCCTCTGCTCTCGGCGACCAGCCCTACGAGGGCTCCCCCGGCCTGGGCTTTGCAGGTCGAAGGCATCGCTTTAGTCCTGGTTTATGTTCTCCGCTCTCCTTCCAGCTCTCGCCATCTACATGCTGCTGCTGTTCGAGCTGGAGGCCGGCATTGCCAGCGCTTGCATCCTCTCCTCCGGTGTCATCGTCCTGCTGGTCACGGTGACGCACGCCCTGGTTCGGGCTGCCCAGGTTTCCCGCCGCAGCCGCTCCGAGGTCTCTCACACCCTCTACGAGAACGACTCGGCCCAGCACGGCGCATCCTCCACCAGTGACCTGAACAACAGGAACGCGGCTGCGCCCCGGCCTGAGATCCACCGGGAGTTTTCCTTCCCTCCTTTCCTGGAGC